TGATAGGTGGTTCACCGAAACTACAATATAACAAATGTAGGAATTTCACCGTCAAAGCGGTGTCGCGCGGATCAACATCTCTGTTGCCGAAAACGCAGCTATAGGGGTAGGGCTGTTGGCATTAAAATGAAGGCAGCCTGGCCTCAATTTCACTCTTTCCAGGGACCGGAAATAACAATTAAATACGAAGTTTTTATTTTTCGATTATTTCAAACACCTTTTTTAGTACTTTTTTCGACTAAAAATTAATCGTTATTTCTTATTATATTTTTTCGATTATTTTTTAAAATTATGCTGACTACACACGAGGCAACCGTTGAAGCAACCAGATCATGTTTGTTGCCTCATATGTAGCATTGTTGCTATTTGCAATTCGTGTTGCTGCAACCGTCGCACAGTGGTAGGAGAAACCATGTTTTACGCGAAAAGGGCCTATTTTAAAACTATGATAAATAAACCGGAATTATTTCACTAGACTCACTTTAGCAGTTGTTGCAAGTAACATAGAGTGTATTAAAATATTAAAGATAAATGTAATTTTAGCATCATACCTGAAGTCAATTTCAAAAATACAATAACGAATCCAAAATATCGTCCAATAATTTCAAAAATTACAGAATTTTCATGGTATTTAGAGGTTCTTAAGCTCGCCCATTACAAAGCTCAAACTAGTTTTTGAAAATTCCAAATGCAAAACCCAGTATGGCGTCCGAAATTTCCAAAATTCAAACCTGAATAACTTTATTAAAAAATGACAAAACCGAAGTTTTGGAAATGACTATAAAATAAAATAAAAATTAAAATAAGTAAGTGCGCCTGGGCCACACTGGAGAAGTGAAAAAATGCACAGTCCATTTGACAGCTGTCGACTGTCAAGGTTTTAATTTTACATAAATTTCGTGATCAGCATGTTTTAAAACCTAATCGGTTGAAATCGCCAGTTGATTTGACAGCTCTTAACATTCAAACTGAAAATTTTATGGCGTCTTCGAATTTAGCATTACAACAATTCTACGATCTCACAGTTATATCATAATCATAAAAACCTTTCTAATTTTTCGCGTAAAACATGGTTTCTTCGACCACAGTGCGTCAGCCGAAAATCAAATTATTTTGATATTTTGTGTTGGCTGCCGAGTCGGTTGCCTCTTGCGTATCATTGTGTAGTGATTTCATTGACTTATTTCTTTGAAAAAAAGTGAGCTGAAAAGGTGTTTTTGTAGAGAACTAAGTTTTCTTCAGCATGTTCACTTCATTACAGTACACACATTAAGTACAAGCAAATTATAGAAAAAAAACAGGACCAAATAAGATATAAACCTTGCCGATCACCCCATGTTAAAATACTGGGAACTTACCTGCAATTAAGCTTTTTGGTGAAAATATGCTATTACGATCTCTGACTTTCCCTCCCCAGGCCCTTGATACCCGCAAAAATAGTTTTGCATAACCCTGTGAATAGCCTTGCATTATTTAAATGGATTGAACGCCATCATCAAATTTTCCATTTACCATTTTTCGATCTTAATTTGACTGTACTACATAAATTTCAATTTTTCTAATCAGAATGTCGGAAAGCTTAATTTCTTGCTGGGTTACAAAATGCTAAGCAGTAGTTGAAAACTCTTGTGTTGATAATATCACTTATTTAGCTGCACTGTTTCCTGGCATACCAACCGTCGCGGCTGAGTTATTCATATGGAAATATTTGCTCACATGCATTAAAATGTAATCATATTCAAATCGCTTGTTTGTATATATGTACATAAGTGCATAAGGGTGGTCCAAAAATACATTAAAAATTAACCAGCCCCCCAGGACTGAAGAATATCAAAAATAAGAGGACACGTATTTTTTATTTTCAAATCGATTAATATTACTAACCCGTGCCGCCGGGGCTTTGAAGTTTCCTATGTATTTTAAATGGAGAAATAATTTTCGTATAATTGCCATAAAATCGTTCAAAATAAATATTTCTTGATCGAATAAGACTATTTACCTTCAGAAATCTTCAAAAAGTAACACTATGATGCTTATTTAACTTAAAAATTTTACGAAGTGTGTTTTAATACCCGATAATCAAATCTGTTATATACAAAAATTAGTTATTTTATGTTTTCGTAACCACAAAACGCACGAACAGCTCGATTATTTCTGTGGGTATATGGTAAAAAATTTAGAAAAGTATGGTTGCCAGATATCTCGAATTATAAATTATTTAAAGTCTCAATAAAATAATTCAGTTTCTTCATCTAAACTAAATGGAGAGAAATTGGAGAGATTTAAAGAGATTTTTGTACGGGGTTGCCACCATTCTAAAAAATACAATAACAGTTATTAAAAATTTTAGCTTATTTAATACCACAATATGGCGTTTCAAATGGTAGGTTTATGCACACCCAGAAAAGGTTTTATAAAATACATATTGTAATTCACATACATTTTTGTATAGGGCTGCAATTTATCTCTATAATAAAATTTGTTTAAATCATGCCATAGCAGTTAAGTAAAATATGAGTTTAAAAAAAAAGGTGTTAAACAAAAGCTTTAACCTCTAAATATTTCTGGATAGAGTTATTGCCTATCTAAAAAATTAAATTGAGTGCGATATATTGTCGCTATTAAGATAAATATTTTTCAAAGAAGGGACTTATTCACGAGCGTTTCAGGATTGATCGGGGACCAGTTCGGAGCCAGATGGGGGCCAATTGGAGAGCAGTTAGGGACCAGTTGAGGCTTGGTTTGGTTATAATAATAATAAAAAAATTAATATATAGCAAAAATAAATAAATAAATGGCTTTGAAAATTTAATGAAATTCAAATAAAATTTTTTTCTTCCTAATTTATTAGTTTTGTTCGGCTAGATTCTCTATTCAGACCACTGTGCGCCCGTTGCAAAAATTAAACCGTCCGGTGCGCTGGCTAAGTGCGTACGAATTAATTGTTATGTCTTGAACATGCGTGAACTTGGAATTTGCAAGCCAACTACACATATTTCGTAATAGTACGGTATTGCCCATACTCACATATTGAAAGAAATCATGTATTTATGTATTATCAATATGTAAGCGGTTATATATTTATACGCCAGTATGTTACGTATCGTTATGTTACGTCCTGTTCACTCTTTAGAGTAGTCAATGCAAAATAAAAAGTGTTCACACTATCGCGCGTGCACTGTATATTTAAAATTTTAGCGGTATATCCCCCAATTTATGTTTGCATATTTTTGAGATAACTCTATCGATATTTTTATCAGTGTGCCGATAAATATGTCGATATAATGATAACGGTAACGATAAAATACTTAAAAAAAAATAAAACATAAAAACATCGATAGTATCGATGGTGCATCACTATTGAGACTATTGATAGTTCTGGCCCATAGGTATAAAGTGACAATCGACACAATCGATAGTTCCCAAAAACCATCGCTACCTATCGGTATCGATATTTACCATCAAACCCATACATTCTATTATGTAGTGTGTTATTTCGAAGACTTTTCTATATTTTGCAATGCATCCGAAAATTTTTACCTGTCACGCATTTCACATTTCCGAAGTTTGATTATCACCAAAAACTTTTTGTGAAAAGAAAGTTCCGCAAGTATTGATGGTAACACAAAAGAGGTAGCACGTGAGAAAGCGAAAGATTTGCGGGGAAAAATGCGCGCCAACGGTAAGTGCTTAATTTGCACCTATGTATGTATGTATGTATGTACTTATGCATGGTGTCGGGTGTCATGTGCGCACAAAAGCATGTGAAAAATTTTACGCAATCGAAAAGGTGTGCTGGCGACAAGTGATATGGAGACAAGCAGCAATTGGCATCTTGCAGCACTTGTCGGTTGCATTAATTGTTTGCTGCTTTGCTGTTGTTGTTATTTATAACTTGGTTGTACATAGCGGGCGCTGTGTTTGTTTGTGTTGAGTGATGTCGTCACGCTTTTAAAGTTTTCCAGTTTTTCGGAATTTAAAATGTCGCATGCCATGCGAAACATGTGGCGCCGCGTACAGCTACGGATATGGTAGCGCCA